CTCTCCTGGCCTCTGTCTCTCCTGGTCTCTGTCTCTCCTGGTATCTGTCTCTTATGGTATCTGTCTCTCCTGGCCTCTGGCTCTCCTGGCCTCTGTCTCTCATGGTCTCTGTCTCTCCTGGTCTCTGTCTCTCATGGTCTCTGTCTCTCCTGGTCTCTGTCTCTCCTGGTCTCTGTCTCTCCTGGTCTCTGTCTCTCCTGGTCTCTGTCTCTCCTGGTCTCTGTCTCTCCTGGTCTCTGTCTCTCATGGTATCTGTCTCTCCTGGTCTCTGTCTCTCCTGGTCTCTGTCTCTCATGGTATCTGTCTCTCCTGGTCTCTGTCTCTCATGGTATCTGTCTCTCCTGGTCTCTGTCTCTCCTGGTCTCTGTCTCTCCTGGTCTCTGTCTCTCCTGGTCTCTGTCTCTCCTGGTCTCTGTCTCTCATGGTATCTGTCTCTCCTGGTCTCTGTCTCTCCTTGTCTCTGTCTCTCCTGGTCTCTGTCTCTCCTGGTCTCTGTCTCTCCTGGCCTCTGTCTCTCCTGGTCTCTGTCTCTCCTGGTATCTGTCTCTCATGGTATCTGTCTCTCCTGGCCTCTGTCTCTCCTGGCCTCTGTCTCTCCTGGTCTCTGTCTCTCCTGGCCTCTGCCTCTCCTGGTCTCTGTCTCTCCTGGCCTCTGTCTCTTCTGGCCTCTGCCTCTCCTGGCCTCTGTCTCTCCTGGCCTCTGTCTCTCCTTGTTTCTGTCTCTCCTGGTCTCTGTCTCTCCTGGCCTCTGCCTCTCCTGGCCTCTGTCTCTCCTGGCCTCTGTCTCTCCTGGCCTCTGTCTCTCCTGGTCTCTGTCTCTCCTGGCCTCTGTCTCTCCTGGTCTCTGTCTCTCCTGGCCTCTGTCTCTCCTGGCCTCTGTCTCTCCTGGCCTCTGCCTCTCCTGGCCTCTGTCTCTCCTGGCCTCTGTCTGTCCTGGCCTCTGTCTTCCCTGGTCTCTGTCTCTCCTGGCCTCTGTCTCTCCTGGTCTGTCTCTCCTGGCCTCTGTCTCTCCTGGCCTCTGTCTCTCCTGGTCTCTGTCTCTCATGGTATCTGTCTCTACTGGCCTCTGTCTCTCCTGGCCTCTGTCTCTCCTGGCCTCTGTCTCCCCTGGTCTCTGTCTCTCCTGGTCTCTGTCTCTCCTGGCCTCTGTCTCTCCTGGTCTCTGTATTCCCTGGTCTCTGTCTCTCCTGGCCTCTGTCTCTCCTGGTCTCTGTCTCTCCTGGCCTCTGTCTCTCCTGGTCTCTGTATTCCCTGGTCTCTGTCTCTCCTGGCCTCTGTCTCTCCTGGCCTATGTCTCTCCTGGTCTCTGTCTCTCCTGGCCTATGTCTCTCCTACTCTCTGTATTCCCTGGTCTCTGTCTCTCCTGGCCTCTGTCTCTCCTGGCCTCGGTGTCTCCTGGCCTATGTCTCTCCTGGTCTCTGTCTCTCCTGGCCTCTGTCTCTCCTGGCCTGTGTCTCTCCTGGCCTCTGTCTCTCCTGGCCTCTTTCTCTCCTGGTCTCTGTCTCTCCTGGCATCTGTCTCTCCTGGTCTCTGTATTCCCTTGTCTCTGCCTCTCCTGGTCTCTGTCTCTCCTGGCCTCTGTCTCTCCTGGTCTCTGTATTCCCTGGTCTCTGTCTCTCCTGGTCTCTGTCTCTCCTGGCCTCTGTCTCTCCTTGTCTCCGTCTCTCCTGGTCTCCGTCTCTCCTGGGTTCTGTCTATCCTAGTCTCTGTCTCTCCTGTCCTATGTCTCTCCTGGTCTCTGTCTCTCCTGGTCTCTGTCTCTCCTGGTCTCCGTCTCTCCTGGTCTCCGTCTCCCCTGGGTTCTCTCTATCCTAGTCTCTGTCTCTCCTGGTCTCTGTCTCTCCTGGCCTCTGTCTCTCCTGGTCTCTGTCTCTCCTGGTCTCTATCTCTCCTGGTCTCTGTCTCTCCTGGCCTCTGTCTCTCCTGGTCTCTGTCTCTCCTGGTCTCTATCTCTCCTGGTCTCTGTCTCTCCTGGTCTCTGTCTCTCCTGGTCTCTATCTCTCCTGGTCTCAATCTCTCCTGGTCTCCGTCTCTCCTGGGTTCTGTCTCTCCTGGTCTCTGTCTCTCCTGGTCTCTGTCCCTCCTGGTCTTTGTCGCTCCTGGCCTCTGTCTCTCCTGGTATCTGTATCTCCTGGCCTCTGTCTCTTCTGGTCTCTGTCTCTCCTGGCTTCTGTCTATCCTGGCTTGTCAGTCCCTCTGTCTCTCAGACTGTCTCTCCTGGTCTCTGTCCCTCCAGGTCTTTGTCTCTCCTGGCTTCTGTCTCTCCTGGTCTCTGTCTCTCCTGGTCTCTGCCTCTCCTGGTCTATGTCTATCCTGGCCTCTGTCTATCTTGGCTTCTGTCACTCCCCTCCTCTGTCTCTCAGACTGTCTCTCCTGGCTTCTATCTCTCCTGGTCTCTGTCTCTCCTGGTCTCTGTTCCTCCTGGTCTTTGTCTCTCCTGGCCTCTGTTTCCCCTGGCCTCTGTCTCTCCTGGACTCTTGACCCTCCTGGTTTCTGTCTCTCCTGGTCTCTGTCTCTCCTGGCTTTTGTCTCTCCTGGTCTCTGTCCCTCCTGGCCTCTGTCTCTCCTGGTCTTTGTCTCTCCTGATCTCTGTCTCTCTTGGACTCTGTCTCTCTTGGACTGTCTCTCTTAGACTCTGTCTCTCTCTTTTACTCTGTCTCTTTTAGACTCTGTCTCTCTTGGCCTCTGTCTCTCCCGGCCTCTGCCTCTCCTGGCCTCTCTCTTGGACTCTGTCTCTCTCGGAGTGTCTCTCTTGGACTCTGTCTATCCTGGCTTCTGTCTCTCCTGGCCTGTCTCTCCTGGCCTCTGTATCTCCTGGACTCTGTCTCTCCTGGCCTTTATCTCTCCTGAACTCTGTATCTCCTGGCCTCGGTCTCTCCTGGCCTCTGTTTCTCCTGGTCTCTGTCTCCCCTGGCCTCCGTCTCTCCTGAACTATGTCTCTCCTGGCCTCTGTCTCTCCTCGACTATGTCTCTCCTGGCCTCTGTCTCTCCTGGCCTGTCTCTTCTGGCCTCTGTCTCTCCTGGACTATGTCTCTCCCGGCCTCTGTCTCTCCTGGCCTCTATCTCTCCTGGACTAGGATTTTTCTGGACTCTCTCCTGGACTGTCTCTTTCCTGGACTCTCTCTCTCCTGGACTATGTCTCTCCTGGCCTCTGTCTCTCCTGGACTATGTCTCTCCTGGATTATGTGTCCCATGGACTCTCTCCTGGCTTTTGTCTCTCCTGGACTGTGTCTCTCGGACTATGTCTCTTTTGGACTATGTCTCTCCTGGACTCTCTCTCTCCTGCCCTCCGTCTCACCTGGACTATATCTCTTCTGGCCTCTCTCTCTCTCTCTCTCTCTCTCTCTCTCTCTCTCTCTCTCTCTCTCTCTCTCTCTCTCTCTCTCTCCTGGACTATGTCTCTTCTGGACTTTGTCTCTCCTGGACTATGTCTCTCCTGGACTATGTCACTCGTGGATTATGTCTCTCCTGGCCTCTGTCGCTTCTGGACTCTCTCTCTTGGCCTCTGTCTCTTCTGGACTATGTCTCTCCTGGACTCTCTCTCTCCTAGTCTCTGTCTCTCCTGGACAATGTCTCTCCTGAACTCTGTCTCTCCTAGTCTCTGTCTCTCCTGGACTATGTCTCTTCTGGCCTGTCTCTCTCTCTTGGACTATGTCTCTCCTGGCCTCTGTCTCTTTTGGCCTCTGTCTCTTCTGGACTATGTCTCTCCTGGACTCTGTCTCTCCTAGTCTCTGTCTCTCCTGGACTCTGTCTCTCCTAGTCTCTGCCTCTCCTGGACTCTGTCTCTTAGTCTCTGTCTCTCCTGGATTATGTCTCTCCTGGCCTGTGTCTCTCCTGGATTATGTCTCTCCTGGATTATCCCTTTCCTGGACTATGTCTCTCCTGGCCTCTATCTTTCCTGGACTCTGTCTCTTATGGGCTATGTCTTTCCTGGCCTCTGTCTCTCCTAGACTATGCCTCTCCTGGACTATGTCTCTCCTGGCCTCTGTCTCACCTGGCCTCTATCTCTCCTGGTCTCTCTCTCCTGGACTATGTCTCTCCTTGTGTCTTTCTCTCCTGGCGTCTGTCTCTCCTGGTCTCTTTCTCTCCTGACCTCTGTCTCTCTTGAAATTTATCTCTTAAGGACTCTCTTTTGAACTGTCTTACCTGACATCTGTCTTTTCTGATCTCTTTTGCTCCTGTCCTCTGTTTCCCTTGAACTTTGTCTCTCCCGGTCTCTGTCTTTCCAGTATTCATTCAGTTTGTGTTCATTATCTTCTATTTCTCTAGCATGTGTTTCCTTCCATACTTCAGTCTAGCATCCTTGAAGCCTGTGATTCTTTGTCTTCCTGTGTAGCGGGAGCGTCTCTCTCTTCCTAGTTTACATCTTCTCTTCCTTTTTCTTACTGGTACGTGTTCCCTCATCATATATTTTTCTTCAGTAGATATTTTTCATCTCCATACATATTTTTGTCAATATATATTTTTCCCCTCAATAGGTATTTTTCCCACTCAATAGATATTTTCACCTCAATAGATATTTTCCATCAATAGATATTTTTCCTTCAATAAATATTTCCCCTGACATAAGACTTTTCTTTATCAACTCTGTATTATTAAAATACCCTATCACAAAACTATTTTCCCCTCACCCCTCACAACCCCCCCCCTTCCCCTCACCACAGACCATCTCCTCCCCACCCACATCTTCCTCCCCACCACCACCAACAATGGTTGATGAAATTCTCTCCGCCTCTGGTATTTCCTCACCATCACTAAGTCATTTAAAAAAAAACAGATAATTGAGTTTTATTTAGGTTTTGGCCATTTAAACCAACTTGAAAAAAATGTGTTTTATTGGGCACTGATATTTTATATATATATATATATATATATATATATATATATATATATATATATATATATATATATATATATATATACTATATATATAATGAGTTTTTGGAACTGAAGGTAGGTAGGTACTGTGGTACCTGCGTTACCTATGAAGTGTGCCTTACCTGCTATCTCGAGCGTTGCGTTGTTGGAAGTAACGGTGCCAACCTCGTTACTGGCCTGGCACCAGTACACCCCGGCATCATCTTCCTTCTTGCCGTGTACCACACGCAGGAAGAACAGTGACCCCGTGGGCAGTAGTACCCGCTGTGACTTGGGGTCACCAGGTGAAGTTCTGCAAAGTCACAAGAGTCAGGGTCAACATGGAGAGTCAGATAATAGTCAGAGTCAACATGGAGAGTCAGATAATAGTCAGGGTCAACATGCAGAGTCAGATAATAGTCAGAGTCAACATGGAGAGTCAGATAATAGTCAGGGTCAACATGGAGAGTCAGATAATAGTCAGAGTCAACATGGACAGTCAGATAATATTCAAGTCACATGAAGTTCCAACTAATAGTCAGAGTCTAACATAGAGAGTCAGATAATGTCCAGATTCAACATATAGAGTCAGATAATAGTAAGCAACATAGAGAGTCAGTATTAGTGCAGAGTCAACATGAGAGCCAATAATAGTCAGTGTCATCATGGAGAGTCAGATAATAGTCAGATCAACATAGAGAGTCAATATATAGTCAGAGTCAACATATAGAGTCAGATAATAGTCAGAGTCAACATAGAGATATATAATATTCAGATAAACATTTAGAATAGATAATGGTTCTATCAACTAAGATTAGATACTAGTACAGTGCGTCACCATGAAGGTCCACGTATACTCAGCGTCACATTTGGAACAGTTACTCCAACCTCAACATGGTGATGTCACCCGGATATCTCAATCACTAAGAGTCAGAAAAAGTAAAGTCAAATAGAGAGTTGATATAGTTGGATTCAAACATGAAGTCAAATAATAGTCATGGGTCAACATGGAGAGTAAGATAATAGTCAGAGTCAACATGGAGAGTCAGAATAATAGTCAGAGTCAACATGGAGTCAGTATAATAGTTCAGAGTCATCTGGAGATCAGATAATAGGAGGTCACATGGAGAGTCAGATAATAGTCGGTCAACATGAGAGTCAGTAATAGTCGAGGTCAAGCATTGGAGACAGATAATTCAGAGTCCAACATCGTAGAGTGCAGATAATATCAGGTCAACATGGAGATTCAGTATAGTCAGGTCAACATGGAGAGTCAATAATAGTCCGGGTCAACATGAGATCAGATATAGTCAGAGTCAACATTGAAGTCGAAATAGTCAGAGTCAACATGGAGAGTCAGATAATAGTCAGAGTCAACATGAGAGTCAGATAATAGTCAGAGTCAACATGAGAGTCAGATAATAGTCAGAGTCAACATGGAGAGTCAGATAATAGTCAGGTCAACATGGAGAGTCAGATAATAGTCAGAGTCAACATGGAGAGTCAGATAATAGTCAGAGTCAACATGGAGAGTCAGATAATAGTCAGAGTCAACATAGAGAGTCAGATAATAGTCGGGAGTCAACATGAGAGTCAGATAATAGTCAGAGTCAACATGGAGAGTCAGATAATAGTCAGGTCAACATGGAGAGTCAGATAATAGTCAGAGTCAACATGGAGAGTCAGATAATAGTCAGAGTCAACATGGAGAGTCAGATAATAGTCAGGGTCAAAATGAGAGTCAGATAATAGTCAGAGTCAACATGGAGAGTCAGATAATAGTCAGAGTCAACATGAGAGTCAGATAATAGTCAGTCAACATGAGAGCAGATAATATCAGGTCAACATGGAAGTCAGTATAGTCAAGTAACAGAGATCAGATAATAGTCAGAGTCAACATGGAGTCAGGATAGTCAGAGTCAAATGAAGTCAGATAAAGTCAGGTAACTAGAGAGTCAGATATAGTCGAGTCAAAGGGGTCAATATAGTCAGGTAACTGGAGTGATAATAGTCAAGTCAACATGAAGTAGATAATAGTCGGTCAACAGAGAGTCAGATATAGTCAGAGTCAAATAAGTCAGTAAGTCAGGTCAACTGAGATAGATATAGTCAGAGTCAACATAGAGAGTCAGATATAGCAAGTCAACATGGGGCAGATAATGTCAAGTACATGGAGGTCAGATATATCAGAGTCAAGAAGTCAGATAATCAGATCAACTGAGAGTAGAAATGTCAGAGTCACATGAGAGTCAGTAATAGCAAGTCAACATGGAAGTCAGATATAGCGAGTAAAGAGAGTCAATATAGTAAGTCAAATGAGTCAGATATATCGCACTGAGAGTCAGATAATGTAGAGTCAACTGGAGTCAGATATATCAGAGTCAACATGGAGAGCAGATAATAGCAATCAACTGGGGAGGGGGAGTCAGAATGTCAGGTCAACATAGAGAGTCAGATAATAGTAGAGTCAAAAGAGAGTCAGTATAGTCAGATACATGGAGTCAGATAATAGTGAGTCAACATGAGAGTCAGATAATAGTCAGGGCAATGGAGGTCGATAATAGTCAGGGTCAACATGGAGAGTCAGATATAGTACAGTCAACATAGGAGTCAGATAATAGTCAGAGTCAACTAGGAGTCAGATAATAGTCAAATCAACATAGAGAGTCAGAATAATAGTCAGAGGTCAACATAGAGAGTCGTAATAGTCAGAGTCAACATGGAGAGTCAGATAATAGTCAGAGTCAACAGGAGAGTCAGATAATAGTCAGAGTCAACATGGAGGTCAGATAATAGTCAGAGTCAACATGGAGAGTCAGATAATAGTCAGAGTCACATGGAGCAGATAATAGTCAGGGTCAACATGGAGAGTCAGATAATAGTCAGAGTCAACATGGAGAGTCATAATAGTCTGAGTCAACATAGAGAGTCAGATATAGTCAGAGTCAACATGGAGAGTCAGATAATAGTCAGGTCAACATGGAGAGTCAGATAATAGTCAGAGTCAACATAGAGAGTCAGATAATAGTCGAGTCAACATGGAGGTCAATATGAGTCAACATGGAGGGATAATAGTCAGAGTCAACATAGAGAGTCAGATAATAGTAGATCAACATGGAGAGTCAGATAAATAGTCAGGTCAAACATGGAGAGTCAGAAATAGTCAGAGTCAACATGGAGAGGTCAGATAATAGTCAGAGTAACAAGAGGAGTCAGATAATAGTCAGAGTCAAACATAGAGAGTAGAAATAGTCAGAGTCAACATAGAGAGTCAGATAATAGTCAGAGTCAACATGGAGAGTCAGATAATAGTCAGAGTCAACATGGAGAGTCAGATAATAGTCAGAGTCAACATGGAGAGTCAGATAATAGTCAGAGTCAACATGGAGAGTCAGATAATAGTCAGAGTCGACATTGGAGAGTCAGATAATAGTCGGGGTCAACATGGAGAGTCAGATAATAGTCAGAGTCAACATGGAGAGTCAGATAATAGTCAGAGTCAACATGGAGAGTCAGATAATAGTCAGAGTCAACATAGAGAGTCAGATAATAGTCAGAGTCAACATGGAGAGTCAGATAATAGTCAGAGTCAACATGGAGAGTCAGATAATAGTCAGAGTCAACATGAGTCAGATAATAGTCAGAGTCAACATAGAGAGTCAGATAATAGTCAGGTCAACATGGAGAGTCAGATAATAGTCAGAGTCAACATGGAGAGTCAGATAATAGTCAGAGTCAACATAGAGAGTCAGATAATAGTCAGAGTCAACATGGAGAGTCAGATAATAGTCAGGGTCAACATGGAGAGTCAGATAATAGTCAGGGTCAACATAGAGAGTCAGATAATAGTCAGAGTCAACATAGAGAGTCAGATAATACTCAGAGTCAACATAGAGAGTCAGATAATAGTCAGAGTCAACATGGAGAGTCAGATAATAGAGTCAACATGGAGAGTCAGATAATACTCAGTCAACATGGAGAGTCAGATAATAGTCAGAGTCAACATAGAGAGTCAGATAATAGTCAGAGTCAACATAGAGAGTCAGATAATAGTCAGAGTCAACATAGAGAGTCAGATAATAGTCAGAGTCAACATGGAGAGTCAGATAATAGTCAGAGTCAACATGGAGAGTCAGATAATAGTCAGAGTCAACATAGAGAGTCAGATAATAGTCAGAGTCAACATAGAGAGTCAGATAAGAGTCAGAGTCAACATAGAGAGTCAGATAATAGTCAGAGTCAACATAGAGAGTCAGATAATGTCAGGGTAAACATGGAGAGTCAGATAATAGTCAGGGTCAACATGGAGAGTCAGATAATAGTCAGAGTCAACATGGAGAGTCAGATAATAGTCAGAGTCAACATAGAGAGTCAGATAATAGTCAGAGTCAACATGGAGAGTCAGATAACAGTCAGAGTCAACTTGGAGAGTCAGATAATAGTCAGAGTCAACATGGAGAGTCAGATAATAGTCAGAGTCAACATGGAGAGTCAGATAATAGTCAGAGTCAACATAGAGAGTCAGATAATAGTCAGAGTCAACATAGAGAGTCAGATAATAGTCAGGGTCAACATGGAGAGTCAGATAATAGTCAGGGTCAACATGGAGAGTCAGATAATAGTCAGAGTCAACATGGAGAGTCAGATAATAGTCAGGGTCAACATGGAGAGTCAGATAATAGTCAGTCAACATGGAGAATCAGATAATAGTCAGAGTCAACATAGAGAGTCAGATCATAGTCAGAGTCAACATGGAGAGTCAGATAATAGTCAGAGTCAACATGGAGAGTCAGATAATAGTCAGAGTCAACATGGAGAGTCAGATAATAGTCAGAGTCAACATGGAGAGTCAGATAATAGTCAGAGTCAACATAGAGAGTCAGATAATAGTCAGAGTCAACATGGACAGTCAGATAATAGTCAGAGTCAACATAGAGAGTCAGATAATAGTCAGAGTCAACATAGAGAGTCAGATAATAGTCAGGGTCAACATGGAGAGTCAGATAATAGTCAGGGTCAACATGGAGAGTCAGATAATAGTCAGAGTCTACATGGAGAGTCAGATAATAGAGTCAACATGGAGAGTTAGATAATAGTCAGAGTCAACATGGAGAGTCAGATAATAGTCAGAGTCAACATGGAGAGTCAGATAATAGTCAGAGTCAACATAGAGAGTCAGATAATAGTCAGAGTCAACATGGAGAGTCAGATAATAGTCAGAGTCAACATAGAGAGTCAGATAATAGTCAGAGTCAACATGGAGAGTCAGATAATAGTCAGAGTCTACATGGAGAGTCAGATAATAGTCAGAGT